CCTGGACCCTAAATCCCAAAACCCTACAGATCCCTTCATCTTAGCTCCTTAACGAAGAGAGCTTAGGCTCGTAGACCACCCGCTCATTTCGCCAGCTTTGAAGCGGGGGCATCCTTCGCCTCTTCGGACGCCCGCCTAAGGCTTTCATCCAGAGTTTTTTTTTGAGGCGCAATAGACTTTCGTTCATTAGGGTTTAGGGTTTAGGGTCTTGGGGGCGAGAATTATCACAAAAAGTTTTTGAAAAAACAAGCGCTGGTTCAGCTGCGAAGCCTAGGGTCTCTGGCTCCTCTCTCTTCACATGTGCTTCAGGGGATGCAAATGCATCCACCGGAACGCGAGCCAATGCTCCCACCTGTCGCAGCTTGGCAATCTGCCGCGGCGTTGACTTTTGTAGTGTGTTGGGCTTGTCGATCTGCCTCTTCGGAGACGCTTTCCTCTCTTCTTCAATAATCAGCCCAAAAAAGTTTAAACTTTCTATCGTAGACTAAATATATAAGGACAAAAAGTATAAAGTTCTCCCATTGGCTATCTAAGTTTCTTGAGGATGGATTTTGGCATCGGGGACTTCACCTGGGCTTTGAAGTAACCAGGGAGAAAGAAGTATAGACTTCTATTTCATAATGCTTCCTTTAAGGCACTTTAAGGGACAGGTCAGTATGAAAGTACGGTACCCAACACCCAGTCACCGTGAGCCGATGTCCCGGAGAGGCAGGCCTTTTCCCTTTCCCCGGTTCTGCCCGCTTGCGTTTCGCAGAGGCCGGCTCTGCCACCGGCTGGCCTCTCGGATGAGTTATAGGGTTTAGGGTTTAAGGGGGTTTAGGGTTTTAAGAGGGTTTAGAGTTTAGGGTTTAGGCTTTAGGGTTTACGGGGGTTTAGAGTTTTAGGGTTTAGGGTTTAGGGAACCCGAAACCCTAAGCACTAAATTGAAACCCGAAACCGTTCACCGCCCGGCCTTTCCTGCCTCGCGGCGGGGCAGGAGGCGGTGAGGGGGTCTCCACAGGCACTCGCCGCCCTCGCCTTGGAGGAGTAACCTGGGCTTATGTGGTTGGGGGGGTTTACGGTTTAGGGTTTCTGAACTTACGAACTTAAGCTACCATAATGAAAATAAACACATGTTTTACTTAAGGAAACCGCCTTTTTCCCCAAAAACCCTGGGGGGTTGGGTTCTGGCCGTGGACGGGAATCGACGGGGTGGGAGGCTCTGGGTGTTGAGCGTTCGCGGGAGGAAGTGGCCGTGGACGGGGGTGGGAGGCTCTGCGTGTTGAGTGTTTGCTGCGTGGACCGGGACGGATCAGACGGGGCGGGGACGGGTGGGTTCTGGGTGGGCGCCCACTGTTCGCGCGGAGGGACGGGTGGGGACGCGGCCATGCGGGTGGGACGGGTGGGAGGCTCTGGCAGACACGGATGCCGCGCGCTCGCGGGAGGACGCGGCCGTGGACGGGGACCGTTCTGGACTGTTGTTCTCCCTCAAGAGCGCTTTGGTTTTTGGGTTCCCGGCTTGACCTTGTTTGATATAGGTTCAAAGCAATGTACTAATTTAAGATACAAGTACCACAATCCGTAGATTCCTATGCAAGACCCATAATATCAAGGAAACCACATCATTTACCATAGGGAAACCACATGATCTAAACATAGATTCAGCCCTAAACCCTAAACCCTAAGCCGTCTTCAGCATTTAGAAGAATAAATTCAGTAAGCACACGGGTCCTGATTGTGCTTAAAGGCTTCAAGGCTGAAAGGCTCAAGGGTCATATAGGGGCCACAATAATTACCTTTATTGTTTTTGGGCCAGACGCCAGATTGATTCCTAACGGAGCGCTTAATGGATACATGATGTAGGGTTTAGGGTGTAGGGGCTAATAAAACCCATAATGGATAGATGATTTAGGGTTTAGGGCTTAGGATTTGATTCCTAATGGATAAAGCCCATAGTGGATAGATGATTTAGGGTTCAGGGTTTAGGGCCTAACAAAGCCCATAATGGACAGATGATTTAGGGTTTAGGGTTTGATTCCTAATAAAGCCCATAATGGATATATGATTTAGGGTTAGGGTTTAGGGTTTGATTCCTAATAAAGCCCTTAATGGATATGTGATTTAGGGTTTAGGGTTTAGGGTTAGGGTTTGATTTAATGGATGTATGGCTGATGCCTTCATTAGCTAGGCCTGCCTCGATTGCGATTGTGGGAAGCGAGATAGATGCAAATCCTTCTTGAAGGCGTCCGCATGCAAGCCTTAGGCGTTCTCAATGTTTTCGTGGTTCTACCGTCTGCACATGTCGTGAGCATGTGCACGGCAGGGGATACATCTAAACCCCAAATGCTACACCGGAGTTTTCTCGCCACCCTCAAATCCGGTAGGCTGCCCAAACCCCCCGAAACCGAAAAGGCTGTGCAAAACCCGTTATGAGCTGAACACTCAGAAACTCTTCATTTCACCCGATAGAAAAGCCCGGTCCTGACCTAAGCAACTGCACGGGCTTGGGTTTGGGGGTATCAGGGTTTGGGGCTGATGTAGGGGCCTAAATAATTACCTATACTCTTTTTGGGGGGTTCCTTATTTCAAGCATAGTACAAAACATGCCCCAAAACTCCATTATTTGGGCCCCTACATTAGGCATTGCGCTTAAGGACTAAGGGCCACCTAAACACAAAGATCTTCCGAGTTGACGGCTTTCGGGCGTTGTGGCCCGATGGCAAATCCTCTTGAACCCCATGCCAGAACCCGAGGCCCCAAGCCCCATACATGATGCTCCCCTAAACTCCCCCCTTAACCCTAAACCCCTAAAC